TGGTGCAGTGTGAGCTGAGTACAGTGGGGCCTTGAATAATATCATTTCGTTCAACGTCATTTTATAACAACGATGAGAAAAATCAATTCCAGGCAGCAGCCACTATCTGTGTGGAGTTGCACATTCTTCCCATGCCTGCGTGGCTTTTCACTGGGTCCTCAGGTTTCCTTGCACATCCCAATGGTAGGCGAATTGGCGTGTCTAAGTTGTTCCAGTCTGAGTGTGTGTGTGTGTGTGTGTGTGTGTGTGTGTGTGTGTGTGTCATGCCACACTCTGAGCTGCTAGGAGAGGCTCTGGCCACCTGAAATCCTGAATTGGAATAAATGGGTTGAAAAATAATTCTTTTTCTTGTTTTCTATTAATCTTTCTTAAATGTGCATGTAGCTCACATTTATTTCAATGTTTAATATTAGAAGTGTTTTGATTACTTATTTAGAAGTTTGAAGAAGTTTTTGTGACCAGAAACTTGCTGTCGGAACTTAACTCTTGTTTATATCAATTAGCTTGTGGTAAAGTAGTTTCTTTACATATCATTTTGCTTAGAGTCACGGGAGCCTATCTATGGTGTTTTGTTTTTTAATTTTAATTTTTAATATTTTTATTGATATCAGAGAAGAAGGGAGAGGGAGAGAGAGGTAGAAGCATCAATCATGAGAGAGAATCATTGACTGACTGCCTCCTGCATGTTCCCACTGGGGATCAAGCCTGTAAACTGGGCACATGCCCTGATCAGGAATCGAACTATGACCTCCTGGTTCATAGGTCAACACTCACCACTGAGCCACGCCGCCGGGCTCTCTATGGTGTTAAGTGAAGACACATGGCACTGGCTCAGCACCTGGCCTCCTTCCTCAGGGTCCTTGCAGGAATGACGGGGAGGCCATGGAATTCAGTTGTGCATATTTCCAAGAACTGCTTGCCAGTAACCTCCCAAATCAGTTTTTAGGGATCAAAATTCGTTTTTCACAAACTAAAATTGGTCCACTGCTAGCGTTACCCAGAACTCTCACTCAGTGCTTTTCTATGTCTAGCTGTCAAGGCTCCCCGGTTTTACCTCTCAGGGCCACACCTGACTGCCCCAGCCACAGAGCATCTTGTGTTCTGAGCAACTGATAGCAGTTTCTGCTTTGTGGTCCCAGATGAATCGTCCATACCACTACTGCTAATGCAGATGGGCCTGAACGACCATCGCCTAAAAGAAAGCTATGCTTCTCATTGAGTGATGTGGATGGGCAGAGTTCTTTACCTTGAAAAGCGGGAGAGGGTAGGTAGATCTGGAATTTTTGCACTGCCTGAGTGGGCTGAAACCAAAATAGTTTAAGTATAAGATGTCATCTTCTCAGTAGGGTGTAACGACCCTTGTCAAAACTCTCCTTTTGTGCACTTAGTAGCTATACCTTTAATTGAATGTAAAGTATACCTCAATTAAAAAACAAACTGCAAAACAAGCAGAGGAGGCCAGAGAAGGCTCTTGAAAGTGATTACTCTTCATGGGAAAAGAAGTGAGAATGGGGAGGAGGCTGGGCCAGGAACTCGTAACCTCAACACAATAACAAGGAAACATCAAACAAACCCCAAATGAGGAAAGTTCTGTTTACAAGAAGAGGGGCAGTGAGTTCTCAAAAAAAAAAAAAAATGTCATGTCATAAAGACAAAGAAAGGTTGTGGAAAGGCTCCAGATTAAAGGAAGCTAAGGAGACATGATGACTAAACGCAACACCTGAGTAGACTGGATTCTGTGCTGGGGAAGGAGAGGGATCCTTTAAAGGTCATTATGAGGTCAAATGACAATGTGAACATAGACGGCACATTAGATAACAGTATTGTCAACGTAGGTTATGAAACCAATAACTGCACTATGGTATGTAAGACAACACCCTATTCTTAGAAAATACATGAAGTATTTAAGGGTAAAGGGCCATTTTGTATATAATTCACCCTAAAATGGTTCAGAATATAAAACTATATATGCATGCATATATAAGGAATTTCCTATTGCTTACCTTGGGGAAAACGAAAAGAAGTGCAGGTTTGGGTCTTGTTCACAAGGCTGGTTCAAGGTTTGGCAAGTGTTTTTCCAACATTGACACCTTCAGACAAGGAGGACCTTATCAGATACTGCCCTTCAATCTGTAAGTCCTGAAACCCACATCATACCCATAGCTGACGTGTGAAACCTTGACCCCAGGTCAGGTCTCTGTTGCCTGGAGACGAACAGCCCAGACAGGTTTAGGCACGGGGACAGTGGCAGCTGCTCAGTCATTGCATGTGCATGTTTGAGGGGTGGGGGAGGAGAGTGCGCAAACCATAAAATAAATGTTAACAACAGGCGAATCTGGATAGTGAATATTAAGGGTGTTCTTTAGACAATTTTTTTCTTTTTTGTCTTTTTTTTCAAATTTGAAATTTTTTTTTTCAAACAAGTCTTTTGTTTTTTTAAACAACACTTGTTATTACATGGGGATGAGGGAGTCCAGTGGAGTCCCAAGGCCTTCGCAGTATCAACTTGTGCCCAGAAGGCACTGGCCGCCAGTTCAGGCTCGAGTCAATATTCAGATGATGGTCATCACCATGACAATTTTACTGCTTTAATAGTCATAAGTGGATCATACTCAAGCAATAAAAGCTAGATTGCTTGTGTAACAAACCTAGGAGAACTGGGGAGGATTTCCTTATTGCTCACTCTGGAAAGAAAAGGAAAGTTCAGGTTCTCTATCCCCAGGGCCAGTTGGAGGTCAGGCAAATACTGTTTTCACCATCCATCCTCTGAATCAGCAGGGTGTTATCAGGCGCGCTCCTTCAATCAGTAACTTCAGAAAGCCACCTCATTTCCATCGCTGATTCATTAAAACTCTTACTCAGATCACTGCACTTGGACTTGAGTGGCCAGGCAAAGTTTATGTCGGTACAATTACATCTAGTTTGCCTCATGCCAAAATAGCCCCGGATGACCCCAGCCATGTTATAGTAGATTTGGGAGAGGAAGGGGTGTCCAGTGACGTCTCAGTGGGCTTTAAAAGACCACAGTGTCTGATCTTGCCCTGAGCTCAGAGGGCCCTGTGCCCCGCAAAAGTGACCACTAAAAGTCACTCACTTCCTGTGGGATCGGCTGTAGAAGTGAGTGGGACTCAGTCTCCTGCCCACACTGCAGTTGTCTGAACATGTGTGGCTGTGGGTGCTCGTCCCCACTCCCCACCCCACAAAAGGAAAAGCAGGATTAGTTTTTTCAAGCACATTTCCTAGGAAAATGGAAACCTCCTCCTTGACCTCACTTACTCTGGGATGCGTGAAAGGACAGGTTGCACTTTACCCCAAATCTCCAGTTTGGACCGCGGCACCATGGAGCCGAATGTCTTGTCCTGACCTTTCCTCTAATAAAGGTGGAACTATTTGGGGAACTTGGAAGTTCAACTGTATAATGAAACTGATGTTCCTCTTTGCCAGATGTGGAAAATCAGAAATGGCGCATTCTGAGAGTTAAACCCCTATGGCAAAATAGTCGTGGTGGCAAAATAGGCAAGCTTCCTTCCTAGGCATGTCATGGTAGTTCTTTAAGATGGGAACAAGTTGAGACTAAGTCTGCTTTACCTGCATGGGGACAGGGAAGTCTCTCTGGCCATGAGTCAAAGCTGTGCTAAAGGGTCTGTAGCAGAGGAGATGAACATCAGAGATGGAGCCGGGGGAGCCGGTGGAAGGATTAAATCTGAGAGCCAGAGTCACTGCTTGGTGGCTACGCATACCCCTAGAAGAAGCTAGACATACAACCTGTGACCTGACGCTGGAAGTCAGACAAGGAGACAGCAGCCCTGTGCCCTGGACTTGGAGGGACCAATGGCACCAGGGAGCATTGTCCAGCCCTCCAGCCGGCACAGCCTGCACCTGATGTGTGCCAGTCAACCTCGGTCTTCGTAATAACCTGTCGGCCATCTACTGCACCTCCACGATGTTCCTAGAACCGTGCTGAGAACTTTATAGTTACTGCCTTATTTATACTCACAAAAGTCTGTGTCCTTTTCTTTTATGAACAAATATTCTTCAGCTTTATTGATAATTAATGTAAACATTGTGTGAATTTAAGGTTTACAATGTGATTTGATATATGTGTATAGTGCAAATGATTACCAAGTTTAGGTTAGTTAACACGCCCATCACCTCACACAGTTACCATTTTGTGGGTGTGTATATGGTGGGAACTTTTAAAATCTCTCTTAGCAACTTTCAATATACAATACAGTATTGTATTCTGTATAAAGGGTACAATACTTTCTTCTTTATAAAGATAAGGAAACAAACGCTGGAAAGGGTGCCCTATCAAGGACCTAATATTTGTAAGTGGTGGGGCCAGGATTTGGAACTGGGTCCAAATCTCATGTACTTTTTTAAAAATATGCTTTTTATTGATTTTTTAGAAAAAGAGAGAGAGAAACACTGATCAGTTGCCCTCCATCCATGCCCCAACTTGGGATCAGACCACAACCGAGGTATGTGCCCTGACCGGGAATCAAACCCACAACCTTTTGGTGTACAGGACGAAGCTCCAATCAACTGAACCACTCGGCCAGGACTTGTGTACTTTTTTACCACAAGTACACACACACACACACACACACACACACACACACGCATAATGTGCTGGATTTTCCAGTCTCTGATTCAAGAAAGAGCTTGGTATGCCTTCTCATAGTTGATCCTAGGCATTCTTCAGTCACATCTGTTAGAGAGACATAGTGATGGTTGGCCAGCAGCCCCTGAACATTCTAAGACAACTGGTACTTTATCGCCTGGATAGATTGTCTCCAATCTGGCTGCTCATGTTGGCAGGGCTCTCTATGGGATTCCAGAATCCTGGTTTCAGCTGCCAAGAAGGTCAGAGGTTTGGTAAAATCCAGTGGGCCACCTGAGAGGGAATTGTCAGTGGGCTGGGCTGGCTCTAGAGCCAGAGAATGGCCAGTCTCTTGCCCCCTGGGTCACTTGTTATCTTACCTGCCCTGTCTTTGCAGCCAGCCTCAGTTTGAAGAACAGGGCAGTGGCTCTCGGGGAGCAGCCAGTCTACCAGGGGCCTGTGCATTGCATTGCAACCATCGTGCGGACTGAGGGCCTGGCGGGGCTATACCGGGGTGCCGGTGCCATGCTGCTGAGGGACGTCCCGGGCTATTGCCTCTACTTTGTCCCCTATGTGTTCCTGACCAACTGGATCACACCTGAGGCCTGTGCAGACCCCAGCCCCTATGCTGTATGGCTGGCAGGTGGCGTGGCAGGTAAGAGAGCAGTGTTGATACCTGTCCCTGTACTGGCCACTGCAGTGGGACAGTTGGGGGGCCTACCATGCCCTACTCATCCTTTATCCAACAATTCCATGTTAAATACAGTGGGGCCTTGACTTACGAGTTTAATTCGTTCCGTGACAGAGCTCGTAACTCAAATTACTCGTATGTAAAATCAACAGTGAACAAGTGAGACACATGATGCTGGGCTGATGTTGTGGCGTTCACTGTGACGTTTGCTGTGCCAACTAGCAGTGGGGTATCTGAAACTGGCTCGTAACCCGAATTTTAGCTCGCAACTCAAAGCAAAAAATCGGCCGAGAGACGGCTCGTATCTCAAAAAATTCCTTACTCGGGACACTCATAAGTCAAGGCCCCACTGTACCTACTATGTGCCAGAGAAAGGACTAGGAATGCAGAATGGTCCTCCCTTTCTTCCATCTCCTCTCCACTGGACCTGTGGGGATGGCAAGTCAGTCCCTATTTGGGTTCATTGAACTTTCAGTCAGAAGATACATTTTGAGCACTTACTCTGTGTCAGGTGTTACTGAGCTTTTCAAAGGAAATCGGTTATTACAGTTCACCATATTTTAATATTGGCACACTATACACCTTCCTCGTGTGGGGATTTCATTACCTCCAGAAGGTAGGAGTCTCCCCATTTTTTAGGATGAGAAAGTTTAAATTCAGAGAAATTAAGTGGCCAATCCAAGGTCACACAGCCAGTGCAGACCTCAGCAGGGACTCTGCCTCAGAAAGATCCAAGTGCAAATCCCCACTTACCCATTTCGTGACCATGGACCAGAACTTAACCTACCTACTCAGAACTCACACTGCATCCCCCTGTCATGTAGGGTAGAAGTCCGTGTCCTCGCAGCGGTGTTTAAGGCCCTCTGCGACCGGGCTGCCTGTTACCCGTCTGCACTCATTCTCTGCTCCTGGTCCACTTGCTGGGCTCCAGCCCCACTGGTCTCTGTGCTGCGGGCTGCCCTGGCTCTTTCCCACCAAGGACCTCTGTGAGGTATATAGGCCCCCAGGCACTTTGACAAGCCCTGTTTTGGTCAAGAAAGGTGTGGCAACCTGATTGGAGTGGGATTGAGAGGGTGGGATAAAGGAAATTGGAGAACCCAGCGCCTGGGAAGGACTTGACTGTGCTCTCCCAGGGCAGAGAGAAGTGCAGCATAGCTAGAGGGGCGTGGGAGTCAGGAGAGAATGCTTTTATTTATTAAATGAATTGGGGTGACACTGGTCAATATTGAACATGGAGAATGCTTTTTAAGAGGCTGATAACATGGCCTTTGCTGCGGAGAGAAGAAAATTGTCTTCCCTCCTCATCATAATGAGCTGTGTGTGAAACTCTGCCAGCACATAACAGAGCCCAAACACCAGTGTTTTCCCTCACCCCCACCGCCCCCACCGCCCCATTGCCTGAGGCCGGCCACTCCTAGTATGTGCTCAGGAAGCTGGCTGAGGACAAACAAAGCCCCACCTGCTCTCATTTCTGGTGAGAGCAGGTGTGAGTGGCCTGGCAGGCTAACCTCCATCTGTAGTACCCTCGCCCTTGGGCTGAGGGACAGGGAGTGTGCCCGGGGGAGTGGCCTGTTATCCTGACCTGAGGCAGAAAAGAGAGGTGCAGAGGGCGCCCTGACACCGTGGCCACAGGGGCTGGAGGGAGGCCGAGATGAGCAGAGTTTGGGGCAGGCAAAGGCCTCTTTGGGGAGCCTCTTGGCAGCAATTACAAAACTTGCAAACCAGCTGCCCTGAACTTTGGCACAGGTTTGGTTTTCTCTCCCCATTCAAGAATGTGCTAGTTTTTGTGTTTACACAATAACCCGGTGTTGTTTTCCCAGAGTCCCGGAAAGTCACAAAAGCGCCCAAACCGGGGCACCTGAGCATATCCAACCAGGATGAGCCAGGGCGTGAGGTCCTAAGACTTTTATTCCAAATACCTGGAAGAGATAAGAGCTTTCCAAAGACCTGCTCCTGCTTTTCTTTCCAATCCCCAGGCTGGCCAGTGCTTGTTTAGCTTCTGTGTGTTCAGGGTAGATCCTGCCTCTGGGGAGCTGTGAGCCCTCCTCCTCAGACTCAGCCTGGGCCTCCCCTGGCACCTGGAAAGGTGCTGCAAGCACTGGTGAGCCTGTTCCCGTTTCTCCAATAAAAGCTGCTAAGAAAGGCTTCCGCCTACGAAGCACTGGCTATGCGCCTGGCACTGCACTAAATGCCTCACATGCATCCGTTTATTTATCCTTATAGCAACCCCATGAAGACAGGTACTGCTGCCCCACTTTACAGATGACAAACCAAGGCCTGCAGGGTAGGATAATTCTGTGAAGTCCCACAGCAAGTCTCAAGGGAGGCTCAGGAACAGCCCTTACGGGCCCCGACCCTGAACTTTTCCACTTCCCTCAGCAGCTGACTATGCTCCTGAGTGGCAGGAAGCTGCAGGGTCCCCTCCAGACCCCAACCAGCCAGCCCCTGACTCCTGTTTGTCTCTCTCTTTACAGGAGCAATTTCTTGGGGGACAGCGACTCCTATGGATGTTGTGAAAAGTCGACTCCAGGCTGATGGGGTTTATTTAAACAAATACAAAGGTGTCCTGGACTGTATCTCCCAGAGTTACCAGAAGGACGGTCTTAAAGTAAGCCCACAGTACTTTGAACTTTGGCACAGTGTGTTTTTCTCTCCCCATCCAAGAATGTGCTAGTTTTTGTGTTTACACAATAACCCGGCGGGGTCAGCTCAGTTCCCGGAAGGCGGGTCACATGCTGAGGGGCTTGTGAGAGTCTAGAGAAGGGAAACTGAGGGGCAGGTGGTTACCATTTATCAAGCACTCCGAGAGAAACTTGTCTCATCTGGTCCTTGCCCCGGGCTGGTGGAGGAGGTGGGTGTACACCCCACCTGACAGAGGTTCAAAGAGGACTAGGAACCCACCTGAGGTCAAACAGCTGCTGCATGTCAGAACCAGGACCCAGAGCCACATCTGTGTGTCACCAACGCTTGCCTTCTCATCGAGATAGAATAGAGCAGTGGTTCTCAACCTTCTGGCCCTTTAAATACAGTTCCTCATGTTGTGACCCAACCATAAAATTATTTTTGTTGCTACATCATAACTGTAATATTGCTACTGTTATGAATCGTAATGTAAATATCTGATATGCAGGATGGTCTTAGGCGACCCCTGTGAAAGGGTCGTTCCACCGCCAAAGGGGTCGCGACCCACAGGTTGAGAACCGCTGGGCTAGAGGTCCTTCCTCACTCATTGCTCAGCGCCTTCCCCTCCCCCCTCCAAGTGGGAAGTCCCAGAACCACCTCAGTCATCACGTCTCACAGGTTCCAGCTCCCCACCTGTCTTCAACTCCCCCGCCCATGCAAGTACAGACCCCATCCCCCCTGGTCTCAGCTCTCGAGGCAGCCTCCAACCAGGCCTCATCTCCCTCCTCCTCGCTTCTCCTCCCTGCGCCCAAGGGTCTTGTCCTAAACCCAAGCCCCTTCCTGCCTCTAAACTGTTCCAGAATGAAGACCAGACTTCTGCACCTGGCACCCAAGGTTATAAACAAATTCATCCCTGTCTATCTTGCCTCCCCTGACACCCCGAGCACCCTCCAAAGAAACAGTCTTGTCTGCTGTCCCGCAAATAGGCCCCCGATTCTCTTGACATGCCTCTTAGAATCAGAAGATTTGGGTTCCAAGCCAAGCTTGGTTACTTGTGAGCTGGAGGAATCCACACAAGTTGCTTCACCTCTATGGGCCTCGGTTTCTCCAAGGATAACCATTTCTACCATGAACGACAGGGATATTTGTGGGTTAAATTAAATGGCGTGTATAAAAAGTGCTTAGCTTAATGCATCACACATAGAGAACATTTAGAAAAAGTTATCCATTTGTCATTGGCATTAGTATTAGGAGTTTTATTAGTTTAAATGTTACTACTGATCTCTGGACTTTTTTTTTTTTTTCATGTAGTTGCCTTGTCCCAAGCCCTCCAATAGTTACTAATTGCCCACTCCAATGCATCCAAACTTTTATTTGTTTTGCTCCAATGGAACACGGGAACTTCTCCTCTCAAAGCCTGGACTTCCATAAAGGCCGTCTCATCTGTGGGAGACTGCCCGAGTCAGAATTCTCCAGGTGCTCGTGGACCATGGCCAACAGGGGCTGGAGCCAGTTCACAGGTCCTGCAGGCTCCACTGCCAGTACTGAGGTCTGTCTGCCTATTACCTGATGTACAAAGGGGACCCATTGCTCTTGGGTCCCTTGGTGTATGGTGCTGGATCCCTCAACTCCCACAGAGGCACTTCTGTTCATGGATGGATACTGAATTTTTGTTGTTAAGTGGTGTCTTGTGCTGCTGCGATGCTGACGTCACTCTCCCTATGCATTTGCCTTTATTGAGGTCTTAATTTCTTCACTGTCCAATGTCATTTCATTTCACCCTGAAGGAATCCGTTGAGCACTTTTTACAGAGTGGGTCTAGTGGTAATGATCTCCCTCAGCTTTTGTTTATCTGGGAATGTTTTAATTTCTCCCTCACTCTTGTAGGATTGGATAGTGGTGCTGATATAGGATTCCCAACTGACTACTTTTTTTTCTTTTAGTGCTTTGAATATATTGTCCCATTGTCTTCTGGCCTGTAAAATTATCTTCCTGAGTATCCTTTGTCCAGTGAGTTGCTTCTCTCTTGCTGCTTTCAAGATTGTTTCTTTGTCTTTAAAAAGTTTATTTGTGTCTTGGTGTGGGTCTCTTTGAGTTCATCCTACTTGGAATTTATTGAGAGACTTTGATGTTTATATTCATGTCTTTCATCAGACTTAGGAAGTTTTCAGCTAGTATTACTTCAAATATTCTCTCTGCCCTTTTCTCGCTTCTCCTTCTGGGACTCCCACAAAGCATATGTTGACTGGCTTCAGAGTTTACCACAGGTCCCTTAGTCTCTGTTCACTGTTCTTCATCTTTTTCCTTTCTGTTCCTTGGCCTCAATACTTTTCATTGTCTTAGGTTCAAGTTTGCTGATTCTTTTGTTTGTTAAAATATGCCTTTGAATCCTTTTAGTGAATTTTAAATTTCAGCTATTGTACTTTTTAGTTCCAGAATTTCTGTTTGGTTTCTGAGTTTTTTGTTTCTTCACTGATATTTCAATTTCATTCATATATCATTTGCTTGACTTTTTCCATATCTTCCTTCCGTTCTTCAATCATCTATAAGACAGTTGTTTTAAAATTTTTGTCAAGTAGTTCTGCTACCAGTCTTTTTCAGGAACAGTTTCTGCTGATTTATTTATTTTTGAATGCCTTGTGATTTTTTGTTGTTGTTGTTGTTGTTAAAAACTAGACTTCTGAATCTAATACAGTAATGAGGTAACTCTGGAAATCAGATTCTTCCCTTTTCCAAGGGCGTAGTGTTTGTTGTCATTGTCTCTGTTTATTGTTTTGTTTTTTCTGGTTGCTGCAGGCTGTGTCTGTGCCCAGGACCAGGTGTGAACATAGATCCTTTCGGGTCCTTTCTGAGCCGGCAGCTTTCCCTGGGCACCTTCAGTCACTTTCTAATTTTCCCCAAACATGCAGTTGCTTTTGAATGTCCTAATCTTTAAGGGGAAATAGAGAAAAATGAAGGGGGAAGGGCATTAGCCCTTTAAGTCCCCTGGAAGTCCCTTCAGCCAGAGGGGGAGGAGCTTGTATCAATGGAGGGTGGGGTTGGGTGAAAAAACAATGGTTCCTCTCTGACCAGAAACAGCAATTGGTGATCAGAACCAGCTTCGATATTGGGGGGAAAGGGGAGGAGGGGCTGGGTCCTTATTGCCTATCCTGCCTCCCACTAACGGTGCGCAGGTGCTCCAAGAACAGTGCACAGCTTCCTGCCTCAGGGCTTGGGTGGAAGGTGGGTAGCTGCCAGCATGCTAAGAATTGAAATTAATCACAATTTACTGTCCAAACCTTCAGTAAACTCCAGAATTCCAAAACCAGACAGATTCTGCTTGTACAATTGTTGTGTAGGTGGAGAGGTGGATTCCTGTGTTTCCTGTTCTGCCATCTTCCTAGAATTCTCACCTCAATTGTCTTTTCTTTTTTTGGCAGAAGCACAGTTTGTGATTCAAACGAGTACACATAAGAGAGATTCAAATGGGGATGCTCTGTTTTTATATGAGATGTTTTTGTCTGTTATCTGAAATATTAATGTCACAATTCTAAAAATGCCTGTAGAGGCAAACTATATTGCTGATATTATTTTCTCCAAAAATTATGGTGCTCAGTAAAAAAAAAAAAAAAAAAAAAAAAAAAAAAAATGTCCTTGAGGGCAAATAAGGCCAGATGATCAATTTTTAAATCTCAATTGCATTTGGTCCATAGTTATAGTCAGAGATGGGTATTAAGCAAAGATAGCCATAGTCAGCGTGATTAATCACATCATTGACTGAGGTTAATTTTTAAATTTTTTATTAGGAGTTTAAAAAGGTTATGTATGAACATGGGATGTTTCGAAAGGTATAAGAAGATATATTGTCTAAATATCACTGGTGGTTCCCAGTACTTTCTCAAGCAATTACTGTTATTTCGTGTGATGTAGTCCAAAAATATTCCCAGCCTGTGCATGCATATATATGTGTATGAATATTTATGTATATTTGTATGTAAGTTTGCATATAAGTAACATAAATAACATATGGTAGCAAAAATTCCCACACAGTCCCGGAAGGTTGGGTTGTCTCACAGTCATATTCGTAGCAGTAGGAGGAACGTCTTTTCCCAGGCCTGAAGGATGGCTCCATTCCCACTTGGCTTGGGCACTGCTTTGTGGAATACCCCCTCCAAAACACTTTTACTGCAGCTCACTGAGGGGTGTACAAAGCCCTAAGCTGTTTCCACTTTCCCCTGGGAGAAGAACTCAGTGGTAAGAGAGAATTGGAAAGCAGTAAAATAATGATGGCAGTGTTCAATGTTAGTAGCCCTTTTCGTAACTCTCTTAATGATTAGCAGTAAAGCAGCCTTCATGATGGGGGTTAGAAGTCCATGGTTCAGGGCATTACCAAGTCTTGGATCCATCTTCTGCCTGCTGTGAGGATCGCTGTGGGCCACACGGGCCATGGCTCATACTTGGAGAGCTGTCATCTGAAATAGGATGCTGGAGGAGTGACTTGGTGTCCTTGTGAAGGGATTTGGGACAGTAGGACAAGAGTGGTAACTCTAAGGGGAGACAGAGAGGAGCATTTGTAGTAGAGAGCTTCCTGAAGCACCAGGGTTGGTTCTTCTTTGGTTCTGCAATATCGGGGGTTTGGAACCTTCTCTTCACTCCAGGAATCCCCCACTACCACATCACACTGGGACTCTTTCAGCTCAGAAACCATTCTTCTGGTATCAACGAGTCTGTCTTTCCTTCCTTCCTTCCTTCCTTCCTTCATTCCTTCCTTCCTTCCTTCCTTCCTTCCTTCCTTCCTCTCATCCATCCATTGATTCATTTAATATATCTATAGAGCAGCAATCGGCAACCAGTGGTCCACAGACCACTGGCGGTCCATGAGGTCTGAAAGGTTGGTGACTGCTGCCATGGAGGGTCCTCTAGGCCAAGCACAGTGCAGGTGCTGGGGATTCGGAGATGAGCCACACACACAGCCCTGCTCCCGCTGCCCTTACTGGGGTTATTAATGAGAGAATGGGCCAGTCACGGGCAGTTGGCACGGGTGTGATAAGTGCTGTGATGGCAGAGATGAGTGCACAGAGGCAGGGGACCATAGTCCAGCACGGGGTGGCCTGGGAGGACTACTAGAGGGCACAGCCAGATTTGGGAGCATTCCAGCAGAAGCCCAGTGGTGAAGAGAGCTGGTCCCTTAGGAGGAATGACAGGCTTTTAGACTGCCCAGTGTAGAGCAGGAACAGAGGGTGTGGGCCCTGACAGGCCAGGGAAGGGTGTGCACTTGACCTTGGGCAGTGGGGAGCCATTGAGGCTTCATGAGGAACAACTCAGTCCGGTGTTTTCTGTGTTCTGAGAGCTGCTGTAAAAGCCAGAAGGTGTGCGTTTTGTTAGCCACCTTTCAGCCTCGCAGAGCAGAGGCCGAGTGGCTGCAGCTGTTGGAGGGAGGAGTGTCTGTCTGTCTGTCTGTCTGAAGTGGCCTACGGCTCCTGCAGGGCTCAGTGCTGTGGGACAGGAGGATCTACCTGGCCTGCTTTGCAGGGGAGCCTCTGGGGCCCCTCGCATGGAATTTCCCTCCAGACCTGACCCGGTTCCTGGCTGTTATTCAGTCACTCTGGGTGAGCCTGTGGAATTCCAGAAAGGTTAGACATGAGAAAGGAGAGCTAATGTTGTAAGGATCCCACTTGCCCCCTACCTGAATTGCTCCAGGGTTTGGAGGAGCCACCTGCTCACCTCTTGGATCCTGTCCATCAGCTTCCTTCCCCGAGGCCCAGGCTTCCCAAGTCCACAAGGCCCTCTCTCCCTTCCCATCCAGCTGCGTCTCCCAGGCTGCCACAGAGTGGCAAGACGCAGGAACCGCTCCTGAAGGAAGGTCCCCTGACGTCCTGTCAGTGGCCTGCACCTGACCTGACACCACAGTGCCCGACGACTAAGCAAACAGGGAATGCAAAGGGCTGGATTCCCACTTTCTTAAAATTACAATACCAGCCCTAATTCACAAATGTAGTAAATCATACAGGAGTCAGGTGACAGAGTTGCATCGTATGCCTGATAGTTACCTGGTCGTTTATGCTTGGATAGGAATTTGCCTTTAGATGTTTTGTCCAGGGAGGACATTTAAGGACAGTTCCTCTCCACCCCACTGCTCACCAAAGCCCTTATCTATTCTCACCACGTTCTACATGATGTAATTATTCCTGAGTGGGGCTTCGCTCCTTTAGTAGGTTATAAACTTTCCGAGAGCTGGAACTAGGTCACATCGATTAGTGTCTTCTTGCATCAGGCAAGAGGATTCAGGGAGGAAGGAAAGCACCTTATCGTATTCCCTGGGATGGAAGGCAAACATAGTCTTCTTGTATTAAGGCCAAGCCTAGCGGCTCATCAGCAGGCCACCATCCCGAGGCACTCACACTGATGATCGAGGTTGGGCGCCGCTCTGTCCAAAGCGATGACTTAGGTAACAAGGATGGTGATGTGCTAGTCAACACTGCGTCCGTGCTCCACGGCGTCATCTCATTTATTCCCTCCATAGCTGTATCAGGTCAATGGCATGATCACCCCCGTTTTACAGTTGGAAAATTTGAGATTCCAGAGGCTGCCACTTGCCCAAATAGCACAGCTACTAAATGGCACAGCTGTGCCTCAACTCTGTGTCTGCCCTCTTTACCCGGCCTGAGTTCTCCCCACTGGTCCCTGGGGATGTCCCAGGAAGCACCTGTCACTGTATTGGTTGGGGCTGGTGCTCTGTCCACCACTGCAAAGAGGAGGGGGGAGTTCTGACTTCTAGATTCCTGAAAATCATGTGTGCACATGCACATGTGTGCATGTGTGTATGTGTGTGCTCACAAGAGAGAGCAGCGATTAAGCAAGGAGATGTGGGTGTTCACAGGACTCAACAGTTTTGTCACAGTGCATGTGGGCCAGGCCTGGCAGGAGAAGTGCCATCCAGTCAGGATAGGGCATGGCTGGGCATCCCAGGCAGCCTTTGCCTGCACAGGTCCTTCCGGCTCTGCAGGTCCCAGCCTGAGACGGGCCTGAGTGGGCATCACCACCAGCCCACTCCCTGCCCTCCAGTGTGGCCCTACAGAGGTGCGGTCAGTCCCCTGTGATAATGCCGTTCCCTGTCACAGGTGTTTTTCAGAGGCATCACGGTGAATGCTGTGCGGGGCTTCCCCATGAGCGCAGCCATGTTCCTGGGGTACGAGCTCTCGCTGCGGGCCATCAGAGGGAACTACCCGGTGACCAGCCCCTGAGTGCCAGGTCAGTCGCACCTCCCAGAGCTTGAAACTCTCTTCTTAGCCATGAAAATGTCTCCCTGCATTGGTTTCCTATCTAATCTGTGTTGATCCTGGGACTCGGATCGCCACCCTTCTTGTCATCGAAAGCCCTTCTCAAATGCCTGCCTGTGACTGGTGGTGAGCTGGGTGGGCACACAACTGACTTCTGTATAGTAAGCTCACATATCTGTTTTTCCACTCAGCAGCATCCATGGCCCTTGGAGAGAGGTTTCACTGTACAATTTAATGACCCAGGCTCAGAAGTGAGGACTCAAACCAGAGTACCCACCCTGTCACACAGGCACCATCTTCCCACCTTCCAACTGAGCTAAGTCTGAGAGCCACCAGCAGGCTCCCAGAACTCTAGGGAACAGCCTCTGCCCCATTTCCTCCCCCCACACCCTTTCCTTCTCCCTTCCTCATCGCAGAAAGATCACTGGCCCAAAGCATCTACAAACAGAAATCTGAGTAAGAGACTCTCTTGCTCAAATGCCTTCAGTGGCTCCCCATTACCCACTAGGTAAAGCATCAGTCCTTCACCACTTCATCCTCACCACCATCCTAAGTATACCATCCTCATTCTCATTTCTGTGACTTTGCAATGCTGCCCCTGCCTGGCATGCTGTCCCCAAGCTGTTTTCACACCTTTCCCATTGTCCTTGGCTTCACACCTTTCCCATTGTCCTTGGCTTCCTCAACTCTTTGTCATCCAGGCCTTGGTCTGGAAGTCTCCTCCTCCAGGAAGCCTGCCCTGATGCCTCAGCCAGGAGTTGTGCCTGCCGTAGGCTCCCTCCCACAACCCCTGCTCAGCCCCTACCACCTCCCCCTGCATTGTAACTGCCTGATGATTTGCCTCACTCCCAGCCAGCGTGGAAGTCCCAGGAGAACTGTGGCTATTATTTCACCTCGATGGCCTGTGCCCCCTCACACAGCTTGACACATGAATGACCACTCACAAATATCACCAAGTGGCTGGATGATCAACTTCCATATCTTCTCAGTTCTTTCTCTTCTTTTCCTCTCTTGTTTCTTCTCCCCTGGCCCAAACCGGTCCCTTGCAGAGCTCAGAGACAAAGTGGAGGAAGTCGCCAAATTTTCTAGTTACCCAGAAACCAATGTGCTTTGGCTGCGGTGACTGCAGATTGTCTCAGGAAGGACGGTCTTCATCAGGAAGGTCTTAGCAAACCTCCCTGCACCCTCCCCTGAGGAAGCTGAGCCCTGTGGGACGCCTGGACAGGCCAGGGGGAGGGCAGGGCAGATCGAGCTGGCTAGAGTAAGCCAGGGATAGCCCTAGACACGGCTTTAAAGCAAATGCTTTTAGCTCTTTACCAAAGCACCCACATTCACAGCCTCCCTGGCTTTCTGCCCTCTCTTACAAAAGGAGGGCAGCAATGCATTTTGCATAATTAAATATCTTGGGTGACAAGTTACTGTACTAGGGTTCTGTCCAAGGCAGGGAAGGGAGACCTGGTTCTTAAAGCTGTGCTCAGATATTAGCCATTCCCCCTTAAAAAAAATTTATAATAAAATCAATGCATTTTATTCTAGAAAACTAGGGGGGAAAGAAGTAAACTGAAAGAGCAGCAACAAAAACCCTATAATTCCAAGACCTTTCCATTACTTTCTAAGTGTTTTTTATGTGTACCTCCGAAAAGGGATCCTACTTCCCACAATGTTTTCTAATCTCTCCTGTTTAATAGTCCAGGGCCGTTTTCCCATGTCCTTAAATCTTCAGCCGCAAGGTGGTTTAATGCCAAGGCCTGGCCGCTCCCAGAGTGGCTGGACGCTTGCCGGAGCTGTCGCCATCTGTCACTTGTGACCACCCTGGTGACTGGCTACTTCAGGAGGAAGGAAGAAGTTTCTAGCACGCCGAACCCTGATTGTTTTAGACTTGGCCATTCAGGACAGTGACCCCCTCACACACACCCCGACTGGAAGCGTCTCTTCCTGAAAGTGCTCTGACCATACAAGGGCACAGATGCCAGCTGGGGTCGGAGGAGGCTGGTGTGCCCAGCAGGATTGGGGAGGGGGTTCCAAGTGACTTTGCTGGAACCTCATCTTAAACAAGCCTCCTGCTCTGACCCGAGAACACCAAGGCCCTCTAAGAGATCTTGGATTTGAACTTACCCCCTGCTCTGAGATCTCGGGCCAGTCATGGTTCAGGCCAAGGTAGTATCCATGCTTTGACCACATGGAGACCAGTGCCTCCCTCATGGTCTAAACTGGCGACAGTGAGATGATGTCATTAGAGAACTAGGGAAGTGGCAGGATGGTGACATCTCAAAAGTGCCGAGTGCAGGCAGGGGGAATCCATGGAATTGTCTTCAAGTGCCTGCAGGACACAGCCGGCTCCAGTCAGCTCCAGCCTCCATCTAACAACCAGATACGGAGCGCTCCTCGGCTCCCACACTTCCTTTTCACCCACCTGCTCAGGTAGTTCTCTCCAGGCCAACACAAGAGTGACCCACGGACCGTTTGTACCCAAGTGAATGCAGCACGAGGTGGTCGTTTCATGATGTGGCTTTACCTGTTCGTACGGAGAAACCCGAGTCAGACTACGTGAGGGAGATGACCTTTGGTGATAGAAAGGGGGCCCAGCCCCTGGTCAGCGGTCAGTTCTTGGGCTTGTCTGAGGCCTGTGAATCCAGTGCACCACTCCTACCTGTCCGCCTGGATCCCCCACATCCAGAACCTTCCAGAAATAATGCTGTTCTGCCCCTGCCATGACTTTCGTGCTCCAAACCTCATTGGTCTACTTTTGATGTCGGGAAATTCATTTTCAAGGGAAGTAGATGCAGTCTCCCTCCCACCCATTTTTTTGAAAATATGCAAATATAGTGGAACCTTGGTTCTCGAACTTGTTCCCATTAGAAATAATGTAAATTGAATTCATTCATTCCAGACCCCCAAATAATTCCGTTTTACTAGTAATCTTCCTTTCTTTAACAATTTTATTTTATTGTTGACAGTATTATAGATATCTCCCAATTTTTCTCCCCTTAACTCCCCTCCCAGCCCCTACCCCACCTCAGACCTTCACCACATTATTGTCTGTGCTCATTGGTTATGCATATATGTATATGAATCCTTTAGTTAATCTCTTCCCGTCTCCTCCTGCCCTTTCTCACTCCCCCCCAAGATATGTCAGTCTGTTCTATACCTCCATGTTTCTGGATCTATTTTGTTCATCAGTTTATTATGTTCGTTAGATTTCACTTATAGGTGAGATCATGTCTTTCTCTGACTAGCTTATTTCACTCATCATAATACTCTCAATAAGTAATACTTATATACAGTACATGCCTAATGTACTGTTTAATCTATAAACACTTTAAAACAAAAAGGACATGAAATGTAAATGAAAATTTAACAAAACGGAAATGAAATGTACAGTAAAAAATGAAAATTTAAGAATAATAATAAGCAGCAATAAGAACAAACACACACACAAATATTCACAGCACAATTTCCTGAGATGTTAACAACATACAGTTTAGCAATAAACTGACTCATACTCACGCATTCTCTCCTTTGTTAGTTGCCTGAGAAATGTTTGACGGATCATACCGGTATCAGCATGAAAGGGTTGTCAGGTTGAGAAGTGAACTGTTGAAGATGGGAGATGTTTGTTCGAGAACCAAGGTGTGACTGTGACCTAGACCACCTCATAGCCTTCCACCGGCCTGTTCTCATGGTGATGCTTTGCCAATTGTTGCTTCGCCCAAGCAGCTCTAAGTGGGTTGTTTGACTGCTAGGTCTTGCTGACTGGTTGTATGAAAGCCTGACCTTCCCTCCTTTTCCCCCAGGACCAGGGCTGGTGTCATGGACCAGGGCCTCATTCCCTGCAGGGCGAGGCCTCTCCAGAACCTGCTCACCTCCGAACCCCTTCTTTCGGATCGCAAGCACTCTGCTCCTCCCCTCCCAGCTGGACCATTGATAAGCTGCCACCTATTTTTTTATCTGCACTGGCACCTGGCAAAAAGTGGGGCGAAATAGACCTGTTTCCCACGACTGCTGTAAACTCACTGGGAATTCACAGAGGAGCTGGAGTTGTCTCTAAGTTTCCAAATAAAAACAATGAAAACTTCTTCAGGTCATTTCTGTATCGGATGCTTCTGCCTGGCTTCCAAGAGACACAGGCCACCCTCACTCTTCCTCTGTTAGACCCCTGTAGATGTCACCAGAGAAGAGGCCATTCCACGCAGGTGAGAAGTCTCACTTCCCTTTTCCTAGCTGCCTGAGGTGGGCAGGCAGGGCGTGGCGGGTGAACGGGCACCGGAGTGAGAGGAAGCCCTGTAGGCACTCTACCCCCCGCGGCCAGCAGTACGTGCTGGTCACGCTCCAGAGGCCAGGGCACTGAGTGCGGGTGGGGTGGGCGTTCTCTGGGCCTTATTTTCACATTTCAAAATGAAGCAAAATAAAATACTTTGTCCACAGCCCGGTTTCCAGAATGATGTCATGATTCTACATTGTGTTTCTCACTCGAGCCATGTGGGGAGGCCATTGCTCGTGTCCGTGATGGCACTCCCACTCTTCGTGCCTACAACAGGCATCTTTAATCAGGAGAGAGCTTCTCCTGTGGAGCCGGATGCAGCTTCAGAGTCCTCAGTGCCCTGAGCAGCCACCACCAGCCGGTCAGAAGCGACATACAAAGGAATCTAGTTGCCATTCCTGGCTTAAAACCTGGTGGTGAAAATATCCTTAGATTTCTTTTCTCCCTCCCCGCCCCCTGTGATTTCCCCACCCCCTTCCACTGCCCTTGAGTGACTCAGAGCATGTTTCTAGAAATTCCCTGCCCTACCAGACCCAGCACCAAGGCACAGTGCTGCTCAAGGCATAAAGAAGTTAAATGTGTTCAGCCTCATTGTTTATCCTGATGCTTTAGCAAAGGGTTCCCTCCTTGAAAAAAACCCTCAGTGGACCCTCCTTGGTCTTTCTGCTTCACAGCCCCTGGCAATGGCGGGTCCCTCAGGCAGATCTGCAGGCTGCAGTCCAACTCTCCATCCCTCCACCAGCCATCAAGCATTTGTTGAGCACCTACTACATGCAGACTCTGTCGTTTGTGTCGGGGACAGCAGCACTTCCATTCTGGTGTATGGTTCTACTGACAGGACAGGTGGGCCTGCCCACCCAGCATCACTGGTCCTGGGAAGGCACTGTGGACACTGGTGAAGAGATGTCCACTGTCATCTAGTCCCTTTCCAGTGAACCTGAGGCCTTTTCTCTAACGCGGTGTAAAGTGTGTTTTGACTAGTAAGTTGGCCTCAACGAGACAGTTTCCTGGTGCTGGTCCCGGTTGCCCAGTTTGTTTGGAAGTGGTGGTGTGTTCACAAGGCCAGCAGAAGGCGTCTGATGGATGCGCTGATAAGGCTGAGATCCAAGAAGCAACCTTCTTCAGGTGTCAGAATCCTTCGCAGTTCCTCTTGGTGTTCTCTGATCGGCTCCATGAGAGGAGAAGGTAAACAGAAAGAGGCCAAGTTCACAGGCGGAGAAACGGAGGCTCCAATGTACTTCCAGTTCCATTTGATAATCTTGAGGCCACACTGCTCCCTGCTGTCCAGCCCATGGAACATCATTTCATAGTGGGAAAGAGAAAGTGGTTGGGACACGTGTGTAACGTCCAGAGTCCTGAACGGTCAATGAAGGCCTTTGGCAATCCCCCTCACAGCTGCTCTTCCAGAATCACCTCTTACTGCTCTGTCCCAGGTTCCCTGTACTGCCAACCACTTTCCCATCCCATCCAATACCAGGCACGTGTGAGTATTTAAATGTTTGTTGAAGGAATGACTGAGTATCCAGTATCCAACAAACCCACGGGACCAGCTCCTGTCTGACCACCACCCTCCGGGCTGTCCTGCCTCCATAAACAGGGAGCATTTCTGGTATTGGAGAAAAAAGTAACAATTACCATTACCTTTGTGAACCCTGAGGGGGGTGGGGAAGACGTCTACTAAGAAGGGCTCCTGGTGATGAACTGTGCTCATATTTAAAAACAAACAAAAAACAGAGCGTAGCAGCCATTCCTGCATGGAGCCTCTCACGCAAACTGCACTTCACAGTGCTGAACTGCCAGCCTGCACTGTGTTTCTGCCATCTGAGCCAGCCCTTATAAAGGTTTCCTGAAATTCTACTGCAACCACTAGGATTGAGGCTTTCCCAACGCAATCAGAGCTGCACAGCTGTGACCAATCAGAGTGGCTATTTTAACCAATCAGGACAGTGCCTTTTGGGCCAATCAAACTGCCAGAATTTGGAGCCCTCATTTGCATGAGATGGACCAATCAGGGACCATGGGCAGGGATTTCTGTCCATATAAGAATGAAGCTGGGGCCCTGGCTGGGTGGCTCCGTTGGTGGGAGCATTGTTCCCCATACATCATGGTTGTGGGTTCCACCCCCCAGCCAGGGCACATACAAGAATCAACCAATGAATGTATAAATAAGTGGAACAAAAAATTGATGTTTCTGTCTCAAAAAAAAAAAAAAGGAATGAAGCTTCATCTCCCTGGCTGAGCTGAAACACCAAAGGCTTGCCAGAGCAGAGTGAAGCAGGCCAGCATGGGGCAGAGCAGAGCTGTCTAGCTGGAGAGGGGCCTGGCCCCCCAGGCCTGCTCGCACCTTACTACAGAAAAAGTTACATATTTAATAATTTATTGTGTCTACAGCTGTGCTGTTTTCACAGCCGCGCTGCATCACGATTCAGCTGTTCCACAGCCGCGTTTGCACTGAGTAAAGTTTCCTTCCTCACGGCATCCCCAAAGGGGATTCTTGCTGGCATTGAATCGGTGCCAACAAGCATCCGTTGGCACTCGGTCACAGCAGTTCTCAACAGCGGTCCCGTTCATTCTTCAAAATTATAGAGAACTTTTGTTTATGCAGATTGTAACATTTACCAAAAATTAAAAGAGAATTTTAAAAATATTTATATAAAGCGTAACAACCCTATTACATGTTAAAAATAATGACATTTTTATGAAAATAGCTATGTTTCCCCAAGAAATAAATAATGAAAGAGTTGCACTGTTACATTTTTGCAAATCTCCCTCACTTCTGGCTTAACTAGAGGACAGGCGGATCCCCATACGCTTCTGCTTTCAATCTGTTGTGATGCCAGCTGCCGCGTAGCCTGTGGAAAGCTCCCTTCCACACTCGTGGGGAAATGAAAGTAGAAAGGGCGGATGCCATCTTATGTTATACTTGGTATGGAAATTGTTTTGACCCCAAGGCCCCTTTGAGCCGCTGCTCCCGCATCCTCCTGCCAAAAAAAAAAAAAAAAAAAAAAAAAAAAAAAAAAAAAATCTGTCACCAAAGGCTTCCTGGCTGGTAATCTGCAGAATCACCACTTGGTGGCAGCAGAGGTCAACTAAATCCTGCACAGGCATCGGCTTCGGGTGGCTGGTGACCCTGGCCTCGGTGATGAGAGCGTCTGGGCCCTGTAACTCCGCTTCCTGTGTTTTGGGTCTCCTGCCTCCCTTCTTGTCCTTTCACTTCTCTGTGGAACGAACCTCAGACTAGGGCAGTGATGGCGAACCTTTGAGCTCGGCGTGTCAGCGTTTTGAAAAACCCTAACTTAACTCTGGTGCCGTGTCACATCTAGAAATTTTCTGATCTTTGCAACCATAGTAAAACAAAGATTTATATGTTTGATATTTATTTTATAGATTTACATGCCATTTAACAAAGAAAAATCAACCCCAAAAAGTGAGTTCGCGTGTCACCGTCACTGTACTACGCGTGTCCTACACTCGCTTTGGGCTGCTTTGGGTTTTAGTTCCAGGTCTGACATCAGCTAGCTGCGTGACCTTAGCAAGCTTCTGCCTCTGCTGCGCCTCAGTTTCCTCATCTGTAAAATGGCCACACAGAGAATCCCTACTTGATTCCATAAGAATCAAGTGCAAAAGTGGTTTTCTAAACTGTAAAATGCAAAACATAGGGGTTAGAGACGGTCGGGGAGGGGTGGGTCCCTGGGATTTTTCTTGGCCTGCCTTCCTCTCTGTGCATCTGGGGTGCTTGCATTTTCAGGGGCCCCACAGGATGGCTGTGGCGGTGCTTCCTGGGCCTCGTCTCTGCAGGTGAAACCCCGAGAGCTCCAGATGCCTGTCTCCTAGGCCTTTGGACCGATACGTGAACATCTGATATGTGTACTTGGGGAGGGGTGGTTGCAGATGCTGATATGGCCCTTCTGTCCCCAGGGTGTCTGACGAGTCATTGATTCTCGTCCTTCAGGGTTCTGGCCCCTCTCTCAGACTGACATCACAGAAATTTCCAGGAAACATTTTGTCCAGCAGAGCTCAGCCCATAAGCACCTTGGGTCCAGAAAAGCCATCCATAGGGTCACTGCTCCCCCGACCTCCGCAACCTCCCCTGGGTGAATGTGGGAGGGGCCAGTATTCTCTGGGCTCAGTCACCCCTGCCAGTCACAAGACCTACCCTATTGCCCTGCCCCTCTGCTTCCCAGCAGCAAAGGCCAGTCTCCCCCCCACACACCTGCAGACTCTGAGGATGCTGCTGTGTTCGCTGTTGTGCTGAGGGCGGCACCTGGCGCTCCCTGCAGGCTTCATTGGTATTTGCTGAGTGACTCACCGCAGCTTCAAGTGTGTACAAAATAAATGAACTTTAACTGGATTTAGTTTTTTTCAAGCATCCATTCTACCTCATGGCATGAATAGTAATTTTGCCATTTCAGGGTAAAATTCTGAAATTACAGGTTAAATGCAGTCAGTTCAGGATTTTCTCCTTTTCCCTGCCCTGAGAGTGTAATCACTATGCTTTAATTACGTTCAATTTGTAACAATGAAATTGGGGGTCACCCCAACATGAGGAACTGTATTAAAGGGTCACGGCATTAGGAAGTTGAGAACCACTGCTTTCGTTAGATTTGGGGGTTTGGGG